CACAGCAGCTAGTAGGTACTATAGTATCCGTTTAGAGCATATACCGGTATAGGTTGTATCCCATGTTGGCCGATTTCCTGACTCATCTTTCTTACTTATCTAACTTCCTCGCCATCAAAATCATCGTACACACGTAAAAATGTTAACAATGTAATAATTTAAGTTTTTTTGGTTTTTTTTTTTGTGCCGGATCGACGGAAAAACTTGAACACTGTATGGTGTATACCTATTACCTACTACAAGTATTACCTATGTATTTTAAATTTTAATATAGAGTCGATACATAAAACGCTTTTACAATACATATGATTTTTTTGTAAACGTGAAAGTGAATTTKAATACMCGTTTTAGACTGATTTAAAGATATCGGTCCTCAAGTTTTAATCGTGTAATTAACACGTGTTTGGGGAAGAACAATATTTGTGCCCTCGACGAATTCGTGTTATAAACGACCTCGGCCAATTCATGCTCCAGCCTGATATTACGTATTTTGAAATTGAGCCAAAAATCAATAAAATCAATTATTATGTTGTGTACTCCTAGATTTTATAAGAAAATAAAATTTTGCGTTATGCCGGCATATAACAATGATTGCTGGTATTGGCTTAGTTTATTTTTATAACGTTGTATATACGTATAGATTTGAAGTTGACGATCACGCATAGTGTTGTATAGGTGGCGAAGGTATACGATATGATGGTTAGCGGCAATGATTTGTAGCAGCTGTCTATGTCGTACACGCACCCCACGTGGGAATATAGTTGTGTGTTATTATCGTTTATTGATCGATGGATGTAATTATTCTGAAAACTGGTTAGAATGTCCCGTAAGTCTTCAGAACGAGCTGCAGAATATATTCAATTTTATGTTTACCGCTCATGTCAAGCGAAATTACCAAAATCATATAAACATATTTTCGTATCATTCCAATTGTTGTTAAGTTTGAAAAACTTAAGTCTTAAGGCTTAAAAGTGCAAAGAATTCTAATCTCAAGTGAAGATGTTAGGTTTAATTCAGGTCATTTTTAAAATTCTTTTCGCGGCATTATAGATCGACTGGTCGTTTGAAATGACTTATTCGATTACCACGGTTTTCAAGCGTTTGGTTCGTTAAAAGCGCATAATATACGTGGTAAGTTGTATTATTTATCACCGATAGTGCATTCAACCGTGGTCATGATGATTTGATACTCTTCTGTGGGTCTTTATTTGTACTTACATAATGACGCTATTGCATATATGATATTATATCACGTAATCGGTCACTGTTAGAAAAAAAAAAAACAAAAAAAAAAAAATACACTGAATGTGAACGGTTGGTAAACAATTGCACGATATTAAGAGTTTTTAATAAACGAACAAAAAATTGTCATCAGAACGATCAACGGTGGTTGTTCGAAGTAAAGGTACAATCATATGTGCACTGAACTGCTTTTAAGGGCAGTAAAACAACAAGTTAGAAAAACTACGGAATGTCAAATTATGTGTATAATCGACCCTCGTATGTTTGAATATGCGTAAAGTTGCCGATATGAACGCTTTATTTCAACAAGATTCTTTACGTGCAATGAAAGATTTGATAAGATTAAATAGATACAAAACAACTCGAACGGGGTAGACCTTGGCGCGGATACATTGCGTGCGTCTAATTAGTCGCCGCGAAGTTTGACATTTTCATACCTTATATGTTTTGTATCAGAACGAATTCCTTGGACCTATGTAGGTTGTACAGCAACAGCTGACTTGGAAAAAAAATCAAAATCCTCAATTGATATGATAGCTGCAGCCCACACTCGTCGATTGCGATAATATAACTTGTTATCTGCAGATGCAGTTACTGGTTAGGAATAAAACCATATTATCATTATATTATATTTTACTCTCGTTGTCACACCGTCAGTCGATATCATAATATAATATAGGCGTGTTGTTACAATGTTGTTGTTGTATAATGTATGTCTTCACTGTAGCGCACAGACGTCAAATATTTGTCATCCCGCGGAGATAATAATAATATTACGACWAGACGATTTGTTTATTATTATTTAAGCGTCGTAAAATATAAAGATCGGGAGCTATGACTTATATAATATTATAACATTATATATCATGTTTATTGTACCTTTATAGTTTATATCAAGTGGGTCGGCAGTGAACGATGCATATTTGTATGTAATAGTATTGTATTAATATATATATATATATACGTTGTCGGTAATTTTTATATCTATTACTACTATTTGCCGTTATCGGCATTTTATCGATCGTACTTAGCCAGTTTGCTGCTACATTAAGATGCACCGCGCACGATACGTAAAGTCATATAGTCATATTATGTGTCCGGTGAATAATCTGAATCGATCGAAACTTTCACCGCTTTTAGCCGTTCACAATAATATATGATATGAATATATTATAATACATTGTGTAAATATATACATATAAATAATACACCAGATACACCTACCTATATGGATTGACACTGTTTGATGATTCTGATCGACGATTTGATACTCTTATCTGTTATTGCTTATTATTATATTATGATAATAATGCGATTCGCCCAACATTGTGCTTCTTTGTAAATCGGGTGCCGTGCGTATAATGCATTATACTATTTTTTTTCGACTCAATGGTCCCTGAACCAAATACTCGAGGTGACTGTAATACGCGTCCGCGTCGTATTATATATACAGTATATATACACTTACCGTAACCACTGCATGATACAATGAATTAAATATAATCGATTTTAAACATCCGTCAAACGTTCAATAATCTATTATAATCATAATTATTATTATTATTAATGACGGCTATACATTAGGCCGCATTTGTTTCGAAAAGTTTACACAGGTCGCGTTTTGTACTCGGGTGACGTGAGCATTATCTGACCTTAAATAAAATGATATAATTTTACTTCTTATATAATTTTCAGAGGGTTGCGTTTGGAGGTTAGGTGGCCAGGTGCAGTATAGAATGGTGCAATGGTCATACTCCACGGGGTTTCGCACTTGTGCATCACATTACATCAGCCCTCGAGTTTGGAATGTAATTTTCTCGCAAACCTTTACCCTTATGTATATACWTTTTTTGTTTCTTACATCTTATTGATCATATATACTTATAAATACCTATAGTTAATACCTACGTTGATGTGGTGTTTTTTACAACAATAATGGATTACTATTTACTGTAGTAATCGTACGGAGGCCTACAGTGTTACGGACACAGCGTTTGTACTTGCTGTAGACGACTGTTTGTAAATAGACCGTGTAAAGTTATTAAAAATTGCCACGTGAAGGAATAGACTAAATTCTGTATTTTTTCAAAAAATCTACGACGTGCGCCTCAAATAAATTGTTGTTTTTAATAATTTTGGTATGTCATCTGTTGTATACACTTGTACAGCTAAAATGATTCTAGAGTAATTTGTTTTCAAACTAGTATAATAAGCATGTACACATGCCAATGCAACGACACCATGGTTGAGCAGTGAGTAAACTCGTTGATCGTACCTTGTTGTTATACAATATAAATTATAATAATATATATCAACTCTATAGGTATCTGGTATATAGTATATAGTATTGAACATGGCCATATAGGTACCCTCGAGCCATAATTATTGTATTATTGTCTGATAATATAATGAGACGTTTATACATATTATACATTTATACCTATAATATATACGTATTTGTCTTGTCTTGGTGCGTCACCTTGTAATTTATCACGTCAAACCATAACGCCTTTATAACCACGCTTATACTACCTATGAGGCACGGGCGATTGACCCATATTATTTGCGCTTATGTTATATTATAAGTATAATGCAATAATATTTTATATAGGTGCACAAAATTTTATCGCACCTACGATCGTAGATTTTTTCCAGTTTAAAATCGATATTATGATATTATTTATACAGTTTGCCTAGTTTGACAGTACCTACCTAATAGTATGTATAATATGTCTACCCGATGTTATATTAATGGACTGCAATACACTTTTTTAAATACCGTCTCTCAGCAGCTGTAGCAGCGCGTAGAGCTCAATATAATAATGAAATTATTATATTAGCGGGAGAGAAAAAATTTAATTTCGAGGTAAACAAGCCTATAGCCAAAATTATCGGAGATACTAATTTCGAAATTG